CCAAAGCCACAACAACAACAACAACAATTGCAAACTCATTGATATGTAAACTAAGCCTACTCGATGAATTTTTTACAGCTCAAAAATTGAAAAAAAAAGTCTTGCAAAATGCGGTCAGGCAAAGTTGACAAAGAAAGCGGCGTAGGCGGCAAAAAAAAAAATAAAGTACATAATATTAATGTGGAGTAACAGTTGTTGGCAAAGGCGCGCAGGGAGGGGGGAGGGGGGAGGAGAAGTGCGGGCAACGGAAGCGCAAAATGATATGCCTGCAAGAGACAGACAGAACAAGACGGAGCGCAACAGTAGGGTGTGAGAGACTAGCAGCTACGCTATAAACAAGCTGTAGACTGAGTTAACATAACATAATTAACATAATTGCAAAATTAATGCTGATCAAGCAGAAATGCATCTACAGTAAAAACTCTCTCTTAGCAGAACACCCACCCAATAGCATTGTCCGTTAGCAGAGTTTTCACTGTACATGCTTTTATTAATGCCTCCTTCTATACGTTACAAATGTACTCGCAATATTAAAATGCCCTCCGCAAGTGTAAAAGGAAAAGAAAAAAAAAACAACAACAGCAAAAGCAGCGTTGTCAATATGCCATCTCCCTATCTCTTTCTCTCTCTCGCTCTCGCTGTCACTCTCAGCCTGTCACTGGCCGAGTCGTTTATTCTGTGAGCTTCTTCTTCCGCTGCGTTGGCAGAAAACACAAAGCAGCAAAAAAAACAACAACAACAACAAGAGCGAAGACAGCAGCAACGGTCGACGTACGCTCAGTTTCATTTTGATTGATGTGTTTTGTTGCTCACTCGCTGCGATTGACAGCTTTTGCGGCGAATTACGCATTTACCTTAAAAAGCGAGGGGGGGGGGGGTGCGAAAGAACTGGGCAGCCAGCCAGCGCAAATGTTGTCTATTACATGCTGTTACTCGCACTATCTCGCTCGCTCGCATGCACACGCGTCCAGCGTGTTTACAGTTCAAACGCACACACATTACTTTGCAGCGACAAATAAAAACACAAACACAAAACACTCTCGCACACACACACAAGCGCACACACTCACATGCAATGACACTCACACTTGTGTTGAGCTCTCGTTCGCCGCGCTCGCCGTGTGGCAACGTTCGTTGCCAAAGAGTGACTAACTCAAAAGGTAAGCAGCGGCAATGAAGACGAAGCACACGGCACAAACACACACACACACACACACACACACACACACACACACACACACAGACAGGCGCAAAAGCAAACACACAAAACAAAAACAAAAAAAAGCAAAATGCGCTATTGCGTCTGATAATACAGTTTGAGTGGCAGCGGCAGCAGCGTCAGCATCGCAGAGCAGTGCTTGTCAAACTGTACGCGCGCATTCGTTTCAGAGATGAGAGCGCGGCGAATTACGTTGCTTTACGAACCAGTTCAAGTTCATAGACACATTCAATTACAGCCGAATGTCGAGTTCAAACGGCGCTATAGAAAAGCAAATGCTAGCAAATTGCTTTAAATAATATGAAATTTTGATGGAGAATTAACAATTTACAGTGAATACTCGAATGCAGAGCGACAGAGTTAAGTTAATATAGGAATAATTCTAGCTTCTGGCTTTAATCTGCTTCTGAGCATGAACTAGTTCCAATACTTGTGTTAATATTATAATAAACCAATGTTTTAAGCATGAACCAGTTCCAGTGCTCGTTTAAATATTAAAATGAACGCAATGTTCTGAGCCTGAACTAGTTCTAATGAACGCAAGTTCGCAGCATGAACTAGTTCCAGTTCTCGCGTATGTGAATTGAAATAAAAGACTCGTATTGCCAGAGGAAAGATCATAAATTGTATTCATTATTATCTAATGATAATCAAATGCCGCACAGGGCGAAACTGTTGCTCCATGGAGGATAAACAGCTGGAGGGGAGACGAGGGGAGATGGGGGGGAACATTTGGCAATCAGGAAAGAAATCTAAACAAGCGACCCACTGGACAGCGGCAATAGATAATGAGCCCAGCTAATGGCAATAAAACTGCCAGACACAACATTACGGCACACGCATCCTAAACACACGCACACACACACATAGAGAAGGACCTGCACACACACACACACACACACACACACACACATAGAGAGACACAAGTGGCACGCGTACGTCGCGGCGTATGAGTAATGCGTGCCTCAAGGGCAGCTACTTTGCCAAGCGAAAGTGAATGCGAATTTAAACGAGGGGGAAGGGGGAGCACACGTAGAGAGGGGCGGGTAGGGGGGGCGGGGGTTGTGTCACATTGATAACAGCTGCCGGGTAAAGGAAATATTATGCAGAACGCGCGGAGGAATGTGTTGCATACATTGCAGCAGCATTTCAAGAATTCATCACGAGAAGCCAACAAACAAAACAAGAGAAAGTGGCCCGGCAGAGAGTGCACGACTAGCTGATACCCTGCACCAAGTGCCAAGCTGCTGAGAGCCTAAAAGTTGGTTGTATCGAGATCTTATAATCTTTGAGCTGTGCTTAAAAACAAAACAACAATAACAACAACAGAAAGTGCTCGAATCGAGTATGACCGACTAGGGTATACCCTGCACTCAGTGCCAAGCTACTATGCTGCTTCAGATTAAATATCTTATGTATTTAATCTGCCAGCTATGCTTAAAATATTAACAAACAAGTCAAGTTATGGTGTTCTTATCGAGTGTGACCGACTAGGGGATACCCTGCACTCAGTGCCAAGCAGCTGAGAGCCTAAGAGTTGGGTGTATCTAGCTCTTATAATCTTTGAGCAGTGCTTAAAAGAACATCAAACAAGACAAGTGAAAGTGGTGTTGTAGAGACTGACCGACTAGGGGATACCCTGCACTCCGCAACAAGCCGCTGTGCTGCTTCATGCCATACGAGAAACTACAAATTATGTGAGTCTAGATCTTATAATCTTCGAGCTATGCTTAAAAATTCAAAATGCATTTCTTGCTGGGAAAGTATCGATAAAAATACTTAAATCCCGTTCTCTATAGGGTATAGAAGACTATATATAACAAACTTGAAGTCTCTTAAATACACTTTAATCTGTAATTCCCACATTTTTCCATTAAAACCCTAAACCAGCCTTTACGTGTGCCCATCTACAGGGTATAAGTATTCGGTTAAGAAATTGTTCTCCAGCTTTGTTTATGTCCATTTGATCCCAAGCAAAAGAAAAGAAGAGGATTCCAGTCTAAATACACCGAATCACATGGAAAAGCAACAACTGAAGCGTCTCGATAAATAAACAGAGAAACGCACGCGTATTTATGTTTGAATTCTTGCGTATTCTTTTGTAACTAAACAAAAAAAAAGAGAGAAGCTGAGAATTTGCAGTTTGCATCCTTCAATCGAGACAGGGTAGCACAAAAGAGGTTCGCCAAACTCTGAGAACGGACAGCAGCCAAATGGAAGCCAAGAAACCAGTTTCAAATTGCACTCGATGCGATGCGATACGATCCGCAACAACACAACTCAATGGGCAGCGACTAGCAGATACCCTGTAGAGAGAGCTCAACTGCTTTATTGTCCGATTGTTATACAAATTTCAGTTCTTAAGGAGAGTATTTAAAATTTGGTATATACCAAAAATCCCTTTTAAGTTCGAAATTTCTGTCCTTATATTATAGAAGAGTTATTTTTCAAAATTTCCTCTGCTTATTGTCCGATCGTTATACAAATTTTAGGGTATTTAATTTTGGTATATACTAAAAATACCAGATGGCCAGATGGGAGTATCGATTAACGTTGGGGGAAGTGGAGAATAGTATTCGAAACTTAAATATTGTGCAGGCTGTGCATACTCCGTAATACCCTAGAAATCAAGATGTGCTAAGAACTCGATATCAATCGACTTCGTCTAGTCGTCAATTTATCGATTAATCGATTTGCTAACATGTTGCAAACCGTGTGCCTCAAGCCAATATGCCCACTTCCTTAAGCAACTTTCAATGGGTCGAGGGCATAAGAAATAACAAAAGGCAACACATCAACAGGTAACCCAATGCACCTACAGAGAACCAAACCAGAAGTCGCAACACTTCAACTCATTGTATTTCCGTCAGCTGCCGTTGCGGCCAGGCCAGGAACTGGTTTTAATGTGTGTTGGGCAAGTCTTTAGATTTGTTGTTGTTGTTTTTTGTTTAAGCAAAAAGCAAGCACAGGTCTTGCCAGGATCAAGACATCCACAGTGTCAAAGGACAAGTGGAACTTGTTCGCTCGAGGGTTGCAATTTCCATTGATCGTTTTCTCTCCCTCTCCCGCTCTCCAATTCCAGGCATGCCTATATATACATGTTTATGTATGTGTGTGTGCTTGGTGGTAGATGCTGTTATGCTTAAGTGTTGGCTAATGTGCATATGCTGCCTAGCGCCATCTCGCTCGCACACGCGCGCGTATCATGATCCCTTCCAATGGTCACGACGGGCTGCATGCAATTGCCAATTATAATGAGACTGGAAACAATTCAATTTCCAATTTCCATTACCATTTCCAGTGCAGGGGAGCGCGTAGCTAAATTGTATGCGAAAGCTGGGAGGAGGCAACAAACAGAGAACGGCAATTTGTGCATGAAATATGCCAAAGGTGACTTTCAATTGCACACGCACACACACACAAGCACACATTTGTATGTATGTGTTTTTGTGTGCTTTGCTCATGTTTTTGTTTGTGTTTTGTTTTGGTTTTCTTTGCCACTTACCTGCCGGAAAGAAATTGTTCAAGAACGTTGACATTTTCTTGTTCTTCTTTATGCACCAACAACAACGTGTACTGCGCGCTGCGCTCACTTTGTTGCTCTCTCCCTCGCGCTCGCTCTCTTTGTCGTGCTCTTTTTTGGTCCTGTTGTTGTCTTCTTCTTGTTGTTGCTGCGACCGTTTTTTGTTTTTTATTGTTACCGTTTTTTGTTTTGTCGTTTTGTTTTCGGTTTTACGCTTTTTTTTTTTTTTTTTTTTAGTTTTTAAGTTTTTCTTTTTGTTACGTTTTTTTGTTAGATTTTTTGTTTTTTAATGTAAACTTATTGAACAGAAATTTAAATAATACATACAATTCGCGCTTAACTTCTAAATTTCACATAACACATGCTCACATTGTGTTTTCTTTACTTTGTTAATTATCATTTGTTGCTTTTAATAATTATTTTGTTTTGCTTTTTTCGGTTATTAAAATGCATATTTTGAGACACAAACGCTGAGCACTGGCTGCAATAATTGGAAAGAGAAACAAAAACAAACATTGGATAAATACTCAAATTTTTCGTTGTTGCTTTTTATGCTGCTTCTGCGCTGAAGCTGAACTCAAAACGCAACGGTAAATCAAACAGAATCCTCTGGCTTTGCTGAAATTTGTTTTTGTGTTTGTGTTTCGAACAGGGAGCGGATGGCGAGGGAGGGGGGGGGGGGGAACAAATGAAATCCAAAAAGCAACAGCGCCAGCAGACTAAGGAGTTTGGGCAGAGGGGGGAGCGGGACAGGGTGTTAGGCAGAGTTTTTGACTTTGCTCTGTTTGGATTTCATTTGATTTGTGTGCGTGACGCTCAGCCATATACAGACACAAAATGCGCGCATATTTGCTTTTTACTTCTTTTCTGTTGTTTTTTTTTTCTTTCGTTTTTCACACACACACATACACTCACACACACACTTATAGTTTGGAGTTGCTTTGGCGTCTGCACAATATTCACATATTTATAGCATTTTATATTTATAACATTTTTGCATCTCATACTTTTCGCTGAACCTGCGCCAACATATTGCAAAACTGTAAAGAGAAGAGTGTGGGTAGAGGAGTAGAGTAGAAGAAGAAGATGTTAGCAACGCTCGTTGTTGTTGTTGGTCTGCTTACAATTAATTATGTATGTATGTATGTATGTATGTTTGTGTGCTTATTTATGTATGCATGCATATTTTGCTATTTGCCTTTTTTTTAATTTATTTTTTGCTGGATTACTAACAATTAATGAGCGGGCGGCAAATAAGAAACTCTGCGCGAGTCAAACACACACACACCGCGCGTATTGCGCTGCACGAAGGTACTGAAAAGGCAGACGACGACGAAGAAGAAGGTGACGGGCAATTCAAGTGGCCAAGCGAAGCCAAAGCCAAATGGAGTCCACACGAACCCTCTCGCCATGTATTGGTGTTAGAGCGTGTGTACGTGCCGATGTTAATGCGCAGATATGTGTGCATATACACACATGCATACATATATATATGGCTATATATGTATGTGTGTTCGTGTGTGAGCAGGGTGAAGGATTGGTAAGAGCTAATAAAAACAACAACATTTACAGCTGTGTCTCGTATGTGAAACGGGCGCACAGTGGGCAACGCATGACGCATTCTGTGACCACAATAGGCCAAATAAACATAAGCTAACTATGATGCCAAAAAAACCCAATGATCATTATTTATGCTAATCAAGTTGGACTGAAATGAATTGACAGGCGGACAATCAATTTGCACCACGGTGCGACAGGGTAGACATTTTGCAGGATATACGTACATACATACATACAGACAAGCGAAGCCAAAGCAAATGACGTTTTTGAACACTAACACACATACACGGACAGACTTGCACACACACATATGTGTTTTATTTGTGGAGTTAAACAGGATCCAAGCAGACTCAACAGCTGGCCAGCACGTACATACAAAAGCAACAGCAGCCACAACAACAACAACAACGACCAATCACAACAGGTCAGCATCCACAAACGTGTGCAACATGGCATCCACTCAGCACATAGAGCCTTAGCTGTGGATGCCAAGTGGATGCTACAACAGCTGGCAACAAAAAATTGAAACAACGCGGGTGGTTCGTGTGTGTGTGTGTGTGTGAGGGGGAAGGAGGAGGGCAGCGAGCGTTTGGAGCCGTGCTTAAAGGAAGCGCTTTTTCTGTATTTCCTCTGCTGTCGCTCAACTGGAAACAGCTGAAATTAATTACATTTCGTTGGCGCACAAAAAGGTGTTACCATTTTGGGGCACACAACAAGTGACAGAAGGCCAAAGGTTATGGCCATAGGCTTTCACACAGACGCACGCACACACTCGCACACACACCGATATGTGTTTTGCTAGAATAACTTCAGGACTGCTGCATACATACATACATACATGAGCTTTTAGCATTTTGTAGCTTGGCTAATTAGTTGAAGTAACGAAGCGAAAAGAACACAAACAAGCAGAACAAGTTTCAATTGGCCGCACGCTTTTTTTTCGCACACGTTGCTGTTGTTGTTGCTGCTGTTTTCGTCGTTCTTTTTTGCGCAACCAATATTCTTAAGACGCAATTTGTTATGGTTGTTATGCCTAGGCAGATTTTACGTTATTATCATTTTTATTAAACTCACTTTTTGCAGTTCCTGGACAACCGCTCACACATTTGTTGTTGTCTCACTACAGATTGTGGCGGCCGGGCGATAGGCAACTGTGGTCGATGATTTTTTGAATTGCGCCACTGCACGCAACTATCGTGCAGCTGCGTTGCGATAGTTATCGATGTATCTAAGCATTGTGTTAGTGTGTGTGTTTCAAATCAAAAGCGCGACTTAGTTCGTATACCCTTGCGCAGATCTTAAATTATTTATTAAATGTGTAACTTATGATAACGCACTGGCAAGGGCCATTGCTCGGAGAGTAGAAATTGTGTGAGTTCATTTATTCGTTAAATATTGGCACAATATTGGCATTGCTGCTTTGGGTCCCGTTATATGTGTGAGAGCGCGCAGAATGAGCGGCAGAGCGGCAATTCATATGTCCAAGCGCGCACGCCATTGGTCGTTACGCGTGTGAGCATCCAGAGCAGCGAGCCTTGTGAGAGCAGTAATTGCATTTGTATTAGTGTGAACGCCGGCTTAGCGTAGGCGCGACTTATGGGGAGGCAATTCAGTCTGTGCGCGCCCGTCCTGTCGATCGGTTGTGTTTTCTGCGCGTGTGCTAAAATTTTTTTTACCTTATTTTTTTTGTGTTTAACTAAATGTTAATAAGCGCGTGTAGTGCGTGTCGTGTGTTTTTGTGTATATATAAAGTATAATAGTCCCGCAGCCGTTCTCTGCCTTAAAGGTAAATTACGTGTTCGCTAGTTTTTGGCGCTAACAACAAATTGGCGCGCATTTGAACTTCAGCCACATCCAGCAGCAGAATGAAGGAGAGAGAAAGGGAAACAGAGAGGATTATGCAGCAACATAAACAACAGGTAAAGCTCTTGTATATATATACATATGTTTCTTTTAATGCCCTTGCAGAGGGTTTATTATTATTTTAGAGTACATATATTTTTGATATATTTATTGTATAAGATCTGCTTGCTTTTGCTCTTATTGTTAATTGCCTTCTAAGCTAAAGAGAATATCAATAAGATTTGTAACTTTGATAACAGTGCGCTGTTATTAACATTAATGCAACAGTAAGTGCCACTGTTAGCAGTCGCTCTATTTCTGACCTACTCGATAACAGCTCGCTGTTAATAACATTTATGCAACTGTTAATGCTGCGCTCTGCTTCTGATCGCGGTTTTCCTCAATTGAAACAGTTTTCCAGCTCGATTTAGATCATCTGTAGAAACAAATCCTGCGCTGCCATTTGGTGGGCGTGGATTCGTATATGTTTCGGCGTCCCAGCTGCTGCTCCATAAACTTTTGTATCTGCTGCTCCACATCCGAGCGCCACTTGAGCTCCCGAAACAAGGGGAATGTCTCGCCGGCGCGCTTCAGACGCCGCTCGGCGGTCTGATAGCATTTCCAAGTCTGCGGCTCGACCACCAACAGATCGGCCAGCCCGGATAGCTTGGACAAAAAGCGCTGCAGGCCGCCGTCGTGATGATTCAGATGAATCCACATGGTTATCGAGTAGCAGCAAATGGCATCAAATTTGTCCCTTTGCTGCTGCTGCAGGAAACTTGCAACAGTTGCATCAAAGCTGTCCGCACTGAGTACATCGCCGCAGAAGTAGCTGATGCTCGCGGGGCACGTGTTCTCCAGCTGGGCGCGTTCGATCAGTCGCTCGTCAATGTCCACGCCCAGCACGTGCACCGGCCGCTGCAGCTGCGCCTGCAGAAAGCCGTGCAGCAGCTGCGTGAATACGCCACAGTTGCAGCCCACATCCAGCACCAGATAGGGCTTCATTTCCACATTTAAACTGGGGTCCATCTGCTCCAGCCAAATATTTGCGGCGGGCAACAATTTGACACGCTCGCTGGCCGAATTAAATTGATAGTAATTCTTGAAATTGCCGTATTGCACGGCGCCGGGATCGCCGTCGCGATGCTCCATTTACAAATTGATTAAATTTTAAAAACAAAAGTTTTGCCAAACAAACAAGCAAGTTTTGCAAAACGCAAAAGCAGCTGTTTATGGTAATTATCGATATATCGATAGGCAAACATGTTTACAATATGACTCGTGACTCGTGACTATCGTTACTTGTGTGCGATAGAAATGCAACGCCCAACTATCGCAATCTAAACGAACTTCGTGTACATCGTGTCATCAGCGATAGTTTTGCAGCCTGTCGATATATCGTCTCTAGTGCCAACTCAAACGCCGCTAAATATGCCTGAAAATATAAACAAATACCAGCTGACTGCTCGATAGTCGATAGTTTGGTATTTTTTCTGGTATTTTGCACAGCAAGCGCGCGCAAAATATCAAATTTGAATTGAAACAAAAACAAAAGATCGCTGTTTTACCTTTCCATGTACTTTTTAATATACTGCACTCAATTTTATATATTAATGTATATAATTTTTAACACGTTTCTGCTTCCGGCTTACAATTCGCTAACTTACATACGAAAATCGTGAACAGTTTGTAAAATGAATTAAAAAATGATTGAAATTTGATGCACAATGAAATCATATACACAATGCACGTTGGCCTGTTTGTGGATAACATATTTCAGAGTTTCATACCATATTGTTTTTTGAACTACAAACAAACATGAGCACAACCCGGGCCAGATCGGGGAAACTGAATTTAACCCACTAAGGGAACTAGGCAAAATCGCAACAGTCTGTTGAAACCTGAGCCAAGTTCTGCTCATGTGCGGCAGAAAATCAAACGAAAATAGAACATTACATTTAACCTATAAATACCATATATATATGTGTGTGTGAATTAAATCAACTTAACTCCGACTTGACGCTAAATTAAACTATATTACGATATTAAGATATTAACTATGTATATTACGATTTGTATGCAATTCGTTTGCTCCTTTAACTAGACTTGTCGAAACTAAATATATATATATAGTTTTGTATTAATATTTAGTTAAGTTGCGCTAAAAACTACTGGAAATGTGTTTCGTGTTGGTTTACCTTATTGCTGAGCTTCAATCGAACTCAGTTTGTTTAAGTATTGTTACTAAATTTTCGATTTGAGTCAAAATTGAACGCTGAAGCGTGCACAGTTCGAAATACGAACTGGCGGAACTTGCGGAACGCGTGAAACTACAGTTTTTGCTAACGACGCTTTCGTCTCTGTCTTTTGGCATTTATCGATAAATTGTTGGTTTTGTTAAATTCTACTAAATATGGACTTGTTTTGAGAGAGAGAAAAAACACGCCTAACACGCCAAGCGTCTAGTTATTTTCACAAGTGTGTACACACTGGTGTTTTTTTTTAGTCTAGGCAAAGTTGCTCGAAACGAAACGGAACGAAACGGAACGGGGTACGGAAACGGAAATGCAGCCATTTTGAGAATTGTAATTGCATTTGAAACATGATATTGAAGTAGATTAATTATTATTTTCTTAGGGGTATATAGCTGGATATGTATACATATACGCTATATACACACATATACATAATATATATATATATAAGTTTTTTTGTTAAGCTCATAAATACAAACATAATTATGTTAAAAACTCTCTTAGCAAACATAGCTTACGTTCTAACAAATGAATATGTCTTTCAATTGGTTTCAAGTTCTGTCTGTGTCGGCTTGGCGTGCTGCGTAGCCTTTCCCCGGCGATCCATAAAATATGCAACTATGTGGCCAGGGGGCAAGTACGATTCAGTTATTGTGGGTGGGGGGGGGGAGCGCAACTATATGTAAATGTCTTGTGGCAATGACACAGAGATGCATGTTTTGTTTTGGTTTCTTCTATCCATTTCAACATTTGTTCGATTTACAACCAATTTATACTTGAAAATTTAACGACTCTAGTCATCTGGGTCCAACCCGATTAATTCCGCTTGCAATCTGCCCTTAGTCTTACAGCAAATGGTTAAACAAAATACTCTCAGTGCGATACGGAATTGCGGCGACATGCTCGACATAATGAGAATTTTCCAAAATGAATTCAATATGCCAATCCAGACGACCGCAAAATTGATGAGAGTACTTTGGATAACCTCGCCCATGACCGCCTCGTATAGACGCAATAGTATCCATGGCAGCCAGGACATCCAGAATGCAAAGACTAATGCGAATGACATCATATGACTAGGGTTCGATAAATTTTCAGCCAATGCAGTTGCATATTCTTTATCGTGTATGGGCTCGCCGGATCTTAGCTTACGCATCATTACAAATATATAACCGTAATTGTGTACTATCGATATGAGGCTGGGACCTAATACTAATATTGCCAATGTAACGGTATATGCCGCCATATTGCCCCAGTCCAGCATGCATATGTGCGACAAATTGTTCTCAATCGGCTGTGTATAGCCCAATATCGGTGGACAGCACAGCAATGCGGCCGATATCCATGTGAACACCATCCAACACTGGCAGCTGCAACGATAACACAAACAATCCTTTATCGATAGTCGTTAGTCGATAGTCGATAGTTGACTATCGCTTACCGCGTCTTCGTCTGCACCGTCTCGTAGCGCAACGGCTTTCGCACCGCCAAATAACGATCCACAGATATCCACATGAACGTATAGACGGATACGGCCCACAGTGTCACCTCCAAATACCCGGTGAAACGGCAAACGATATCGCCGTACATCCATTCGCCAGTCAGCGCCGGATAGACGGAGAAGGGCACCACCAGCAGGCCGCATAGCAGATCGGCAATCGCCAGCGATAGCAGATAATAGTTAATCACCTCTGTGGGACCTGTGTGGAACGCAAGTTGAAAATCGAATTCAAACTCAAAACCCGAACTCAAACTCAACATAAACTCAAACTCAACTCGATCTCGAACTCAACATGGCACTGTGGGGAATTTGGAACGTTTTGCTTGCGGCTCAATTACATAGCATAATGCAAAATGCATACAATTGCAATGTTAAATAACATACAATTTTAACAGAACGCAATTATGTTAAGCTGACAGCTGTTAAGGGCAACTGATATGATCGCATGCATTTTCTAGAGTGTAAAACATAAATGTTAACAGAAAACAATTATGTTTTCTTATTATTATAACATAAAAGTTAACATGATCCAAGCACTG